CCTAAGATGGAACCTTGTGGTACCCCAATGCTTACTTCCCTCCATGTAGATGTAGTACCATTAAGGACTACCTGTTGAGTGTGATTTATCAGCCAGTTACAAATCCATCTGGTGGTGATGCTTCTATCCCACATTTTTCTAGCTTACCAAGAAGTAGGCTGTGATCTACTTTATCAGATACATTACTGAAATCCAAATACACTATGTCAACATATTTCACTGATCCATCAATTTAGTCACTTTGTCAAAGAATGCAATAAGATTTGTTTGCAATGATCATTTTTTGTCAAATCCATGTTGGCTACTAGTTATAACTTTATTTTAGAACTTTAAAGAACAAAAAAAAAAGTTCCAACTCCCCAATGATTTTAAATGGTTTAGCACCCATTATGGCCATCAGAGCAACTTCAAGCTTAGCAGGAAATAACATTTTCAAGGATATTTCCATATATTTGCTCCAAAGCATCCCTCCCAAGCATTAGTTTATCCTTTTATCATTATGAGAATTAGGGTGGATGGAGTCAGCAGGAGACAGATCCAAGATGCAAGAACAAATTGCTTAGAATAGATGCACTCCATAAAGGATATTGGTAAATATTGAAAGCTTTTAGTAGATAACAATGCAATGACTTACCGAGAAACATAGACATTCTGAACAGCTATAGCATTTTATGAAAAGTGTTTTATTGTACTGTATTAGTGCATTAACAGTTTTCAGCATAAGTTTTGGAGTTGATGACACAGAGGTTTTAAACAACGAAATCTAAGAAACTGCAAATACAGTCCAAACATTAGCACAAATGGTATTAAATATGTTTTCATGCATCTCTCTGGAGTGCACAGAGCTTCTTATATTGCTCTTTTTGGCCACTCCATAAAGCAGCAGCATCTTTTCTCAGAATGATAAGCTGCCTTCCGCAACTGTATTGTGATCTCAGGAACGGAAATCTTCAGTTTACGGAGTTGCCACACATTTCATGTCCTCCTTGATACGACACATCAATCATTTTCTTGGGTTTGCCATGGCGCCGTCCGCCATTAGGATCCAGATGCATGGTTGTCCTTGCCACCAAGTCTTCTTTACCCCATACAATTTATGTCTTCCTTCCTGCAGTTTGGCTACAACGTCATGGGGACTCTCCCAACCGTGACTGCCACCTGCTCTTAGAGCAGGAGTTGTGAATCTAGGAGGACCTCCAAGCTGTGCACAGGGTCCACCTGGGTAGTTGCAACACCATCCAGAAAGTTATTAAACTCCCAGATCCTGGGTTTCCACATATCCAGAGTCACTCAGGCTTCAACTGAACCCTGTTTTCCCCATCCAGGCCTCTATAGGCTCCAGGCACTACAAGAGGCAGCTGTAGCAACAGTTATATACTGTATTTACATTCTTGTAGAAAATTCTGCAGGATTTATGATAATATTTATTCCTCTCCCACAGAAACCCAATCTCTGGGTAACCATCTCATTTATCTAGTTTTGGGTAGAGATCAAGGATTTCAATAGAATATACAGTATGTATATGTACATCTATATATATATATATCTATATATCTCTATCTCTATCTCTATCTCTATCTATATCTCTATCTCTATCTCTATCTCTATCTCTATCTATATCATCTATATCATCTATCTATCTATCTATCTATCCATCCATCCATCCATCCATCCATCCATCCATCCATCCATCCATCTATCTATCTATCTATCATCTATCTATCTATCTAATAATAGTAAAGTTGGAAGGGACCTTGGAGGTCATTTAGTTCAACCCCCTGCTCAGGCAGGAAACCCTATACCATTTCAGACAAATGGCTGTCCAGTCTCTTCTTAAAAACTTCCAGTGTTGGAGCATTCACTGCTTCTGGAGGCAGGTTGTTCCACTGGTTAATTGTTCTAACTGTCAGGAAGTTTCTTCTTAGTTGTAGGTTGCTTCTCTCTTTGGTTAGTTTCCTTCAGTTGCTTCTTGTCCTGCCTTCAGGTGCTTTGGAGAATAGCTTGACTCCCTCTTCCTTGTGACAACCCCTGCTATCATGTCCCCCCTCGTCCTTCTCTTCATTAAAATATGGTATAGTGTTTCCTGCCTGATCAGGGGGTTGGACTAGATGATCTCCAAGGTCCCTTCCAACTACTACTACTTCTTCTTCTTCTTCTTCTTCTTCTTCTTCTTCTTCTTC